ATCATGTGTTTTCCGCGCCGTTTGCGTGCGCTCTCAGGGTATGTAAATTCGAGCATTAACATGACCTGTGTGAAGAACTTAAGGGCGGCCTTTATAACCTCAACAAAGCACTTTGCAGCAGTGTAAAGCAGTGGAAGACGGGAGTCAGGCGGTTTGCCGCTCCGTGGAAGCTTTTCCACGAGGTGCGGGCCTAAGCAACTCATGCTGAAGCCCCTAGCCCTTTGGCCCTGAACTCTAACGTCCTTACAAGTCCTATCTGAGAGATGTTGGACAAACATCTGACAAGCTTGCTGCATTGTGATTTGCATTCAGGGCTTCGTAGCTTGTTGTACTCTTCTTGTTGGGGTAACTACAAAGCTGCACAGAGGCATTACGTTTGAGCGCCCAGGGACGGGCGTTAGCAACCCCAGACCCGCGATAGAAGGTCGAGTGAATAAGGCTGTTTTAAGGCCTTGCAACTACCCCAAACCCCCAAAACCCTGAACCCTGAACCCTAAACCCTAAACCCTAAACCCTAAACCCTGAACCCTAAACCGTAAACCCTAAACCCTAAACCCCAACACCCTAAGACCCTAAAGCTTGAACTCCCAAGCCGGACCCTGGTCTGGTTTAGAGTGTGGGCTTTGGCTTCAGGGTTTAGGCTTTAGGGTTTAGAGTTTTCGGCTTAGGGTTTAGGGTTTACGGTTTAGGGTTTAGGGTTTGGGTGTTTGTTAAAGGAAGCAAGTTCAGGCTACTGAAAGCACACGAAAGCATCCCATTTACTCCTAAGGACCTGAAGAAGCGGACGAGGGTTCTCGGATAAAAGGTGCTATAAGTTTAGGGTTTTGGGGTTTTAGGGTTCAGGGTTTAAGGTTTTAGGGTTTTAAGTATACTAGCGCACCTTAAGGAATAGACTTCTAATGATGAATGCGGCCAGCATATTACTCTACATCCCGACTTTTGTAGCTGAAATGAAGCTCTTGAGTGCAAGACCCTGCAGACTGGCTAACAAAGCCCGATGTAAAAACATTTTTAGGGCTTTAAGGGTTTAGGGTTTAGGGTTTTAAGGGTTTAGTGTTTAGGGTTTCGTGTTTAGGGTTTAGGGTTTAGGGTTTAGTCCCAAGGAAGCCGTATAAAGCCCTGATTACGTGCCCCCCCAAAACGCCAAACCCAAAACCCCAAGACCGAAAACCGAACGCCAGAACCGTCATAAAAAATCTCAGAATCTGTGCAGATCCTCATAGAACCCTGACCGAACCCGACACAAGTCAGCAAATCCCGTAATACCCGGCAAACCAAAAACCGGTTGAAAACGCACTAAACTTCCCACGCACCAAAACCAGAATCGAAGCCCATCTTCGAACTTCAAACCTCTTATAAAAGGCATACAAGTTCTAACGATCCCAAACCCGGTACCTTAAACCTAAACCCAAACCTTACACCCTTAACCTCGAACCATGAGCCCTAAACCCTAAACC